ACTCCAAAGCGCTCCTTCATCCGCTCCTGGCTCACCGCCGCCCTCACGCCGAGCACCAGTTACATACGAGGCAGCTGGTACTCAGACCAAGGAGGACCATAAACGCTGAGGAAAAGACCAGAAGCGGCAGGGCCAGCCTGGCCTCGGACACGACAGCTCCTCTGGGTCTGGGAGAGAGTTAGGATTGCTGGGGCCGCCAGTGACAGCAGGCAGCTCACCCTCCTGGCTGCGAGCCTACAGAGCCCAGCCCTTCCGTGGCCCTGGACGCAGCAGGCAGCAGCCGTACCCACTGTGCAGCTGAGAACACTGAGGTCCGTGCGCCCGGTCCATCTGGCCAGCAGGCTGGGCCCTTCACCGTGAGAGCAGAGGGGTCTGGGGCCGGCCTGGGCCAGTGTTCTGGAGCCCCTACCCACCCCCGGGCCTGATGAGGGAGGTGGCACGCCCGTCCGCAGGGCACAGGGCCACACTGCCGGCTTTCCGGCTCCTCGCCTTCTCGCTCTGGCCCTGGCTTCCCCCGCCGGAGCCCGTGTGGACGGGCCGCCCCCCCACATCAGCTCCTGGCACACCCACCTCCAGACGGCTCATCCTGGAAAGCGTCTGCGAGTCCCCCGAATCCCGCTTCCACCAGGACCTCCGCCTCCTTGGCGTGTCTTCCTGCAGCAGCGACAGACAGCGGGTCACCAACCTGCCCCTGCCCAGGGGACGGGAGGGACTCGGGGAGGCCCCAGCTCAGGGGCTAGATCCCCCAGAGTGTGCTGTGTGCAGGGGGAGCTGAGTTCCTCCAGGGGGAAGGTGACTCTGGGCCTTTGTGATTCCCACAGGGCCCAGCCCCCGTGTCCGCAAGTAGAGGGGGCAAAAAAGAAACAGTACAAGAAGGAGGCCTTTGGGACTTCCCTGGCGGTCCAGTGGTTAGGACTCCGTGCTTCCACTGCAGGGGGCACGGGTTCGATCCCTGGTCAGGGAACTAAGATCCCACATGCCGCCGCACGGCACGGCCAAAAGAAATAAGTACGTAAACAATTCTGAAGAAAGAATGAGGCCTTCAGTAAACACGCCTGGTCCATGCCTTCCCCCAGGTGTCTCCAGGGGTGGCCGCGGGACCCTGTCTGTGTCTCCTCGTCAGAGAGGGCACGTGTGTGCACATATCCTGTGCCCCGTCGCACGCAGGAGCACGAGGTCTGTTCCCCACGCACACGCACGTGTGCCATCTCAAGTGCGTCCTGGCCAGCTGATGGGAGGGCTCCGAGGAGGACCGAGGAGTCAGAGAGGACAGCCGAGCGGACGCCGCTGTGGCAGGGCAGTGCGGCTGCACAGGGGCGAGCGTGAGCTGCCCACACGGGGGATGCAGGAGGCGTGGCCACCTGTGGCCGCACCCCTGAGCCTTCCCCGAGCCTCTGGCTGTCTGTGGAGCAGGCTTACCGGGAGTCCGAAGCCGGCGCCCTCAGTCACGTACTCGTAGACGGGCGAGGACCCCTGTGGCCGGGGCCGAATGATCTCATCCACAGACCCTTCCGTCACCTGGCAGGAGGAGAGAATCAGGTCGCCCTCAGCCACTTGGGCTCTGCTCAAGTCCAGGAAAGGAGGGGGTGGGGGCTACGAGTGGGGCACATCCTCCCTGGACCTCACTTACGGACTGGTCCTCCGCGGTTTCTGCATCTGGCTCTTCAGGCTGCAACTGCTGGCCAGACGCTGCAAAGGGAAAGGAGGAGTCAGTGGAGGCTTGCAGGTGGGCAGAGCAGAGGGTGGAGCTGGGGGCAGGGGCCCAGGAGAGGCTGTGTACCACAGAGGTGGTGTAACCCTGGACCCTGGGTCTGGGAGCACATGCAGGGGTCGGGGGAGGACACACAGCCCCTGAGCCAGGGAGAGTGTGAGATCAGGTGTGATGGCAGTGAGCCAGGACAGACAAAGTAGATGGCTTCACAGAGTTAGTCACAGAAAGTTACTAAACAAACACACAAACAAAGCAATAACTACCACCCTGACGGGGAGAGTCAGGATCCAGAGTTACTATAATAATGTCCAGCGTTCAACAGAAAACTACATGACATGTACAGAATCAAGCAGGTAGGATCCACACTGAGGAGCAGAGCAGTTAATGGAAACAATCTTCGAATGTCCACAGCTGTTGAATTTGGCACAGACTCCAAAGCAACATTCATAAATTTATTCAAAAAAGTGAAGGAGACCATATTTAAAGAATTAATGAAAAATATGATGACAATGGCCCAATGAAGAAAGAATGTCATAAAGAAACAGAAATTATATTAAGAAAAGAAAAAGCCAAATGGAAACTCTGAAGTTGAAAGTTTCCTAGAGGGGCTCAACAGCAAGGCTGAGATGCCAGTGGAAGGAAGCAAAAAACTTGTAGGTTAGGGGAATTCCCTGGCAGTCCAGTGGTTAGGACTCGGCACTTTCACTGCCAGGGCGCAGGTTCAATCCCTGGTTGGGGAACTAAGATCCCTCAAGACACACAGTGCGGCCAGAAAAAACAAAAAATGACCAAACCAAACAAAAAACTTGTAGATTGATAGAAATTAACCAATTTGAAGAACAAGGGGAAAAGGATTGAAGGAAAATGAATAGAGCCTCAGAGATCTGTGAGATGACATTAAGAACACCAATATATGTGTAGTTGAAGTCTCAGAAGGAAACGCGAGAGAGAGAGAGAGAGAGAGAGAGAGGCAGGAAAAAATGTTTGAAAGAATAATGGCTAAAAACAATCTATGGATCTCAGGAGCTCAACAAACCCCAGTAGGATAAACACAAAGGGATCCAGACCTAGACAATCACATCAAAATGTTCAAGGGAAAGAGAAAAATTTGAAAGCAACAAGAGAGAGGTGGCCCATCACATTTACCAGTACAGCAATACAATTACTAGTCAACACCACGGAAGCTAGAAAAAAGCGGAACAGTATATTCAAATTAATGAAAGAAAAACTTTGTTAACCATGAATTCTACATCTAGCAAACTGTCCTTCAAAAATAAAGGCAAAATAGGGACTTCCCTGGTGGCACAGTGGTTAAGAATCCGCCTGCCAGTGCAGGGGACATGGGTTCAAGCCCTGGCCCAGGAAGATCCCACATGCCACAGAGCAACTAAGCCCATGTGCCACAACTACTGAGCTTGCACTCTAGAACCCGTGAGCCACAACTACTGAAGCCCGCGCGCCTAGTGCTTGTGCTCCACAACAAGAGAAGCCACCACAATGAGAAGCTCACGCACCGCAATGAAGAGAGTGCCCCACTCACCGCAACTAGAGAAAGCCCGTGCACAGCAATGAAGACCCAATGCAGCCAAAAATAAATAAATTAAATAAATAAATTTATTTTTAAAAAAAGATGAAAAAGATGTGTAGCTAGTAAGTCAGTAGTGGAAATAAAATGCAATACTAAAAATACACGTTATTTTATACATATATAATGTATATAAATAATTTACATTAATATATAAATTTAATATATAATCAATTATATATAACGTATACATCTATATTCGTTTATAGATACAAAATTTATATTTATATATGTAATATATGTTATTAAGTAATTATACCTGTGTATATATTTAATTAATTCTAAAACAAGACAAGGAACCAGGGAAAGAGGAGCAAAGGATGGATGGAATAAAATAGAAAGCAATTAGCAAGATGGTAGGATTTAAACCAGCCATTTTGACAATACATTAAATATGAAAGGACTTAAAATTCCAATCAAAAAGGTAGAGATTATCAGATTAAATTTAAAAAGCAAGACCTGACTACAGGCTATCTAGGAGAAATGGACTATAACTAAAAAGAAGTTAAAAGAAAAGGAAATAAAAAATACATACAGTGCAAAAACTAATCATTTCATAATAATAAAGGGCACAATCCATAAAAAAAAATAACAAACCTAAGTCTGTATATACCTAGTAACAGAGGCTAAAAACACTGAAGTGAAAGCTAGCAAAAATGAAAGGACAAAAAAGACAAATCCACAATTACAGTAGAGATTGTAACATTCCTCTCAGTAATCGATAACCTTACAAAACAGAATAGGTAAGAACACTGATCCACCCATCAACCAATGAGGCCACGGCGGAGAGCACTCCTCCTGACAAGAGCAGAGTACACATTCGTCTTAAGTGCACATGGGACATTCCCCAAGATAGATCATAGGCTAGCTCATTTAAATGTCTCAGTAAATTTAAAATAATTAAGACCATTTCAAATCAGCTAGGTATTTTCTCTGACTCTCAACGGAATCAAGACGGTACAGTATAACCACTGTGAAAACGAATAGGAAGTCCAGAATGGTCCCACACTTTGTAAGATCAGTTAACTTTTGACAAAGCAGCCAAGTTATTTCAATAGAAAAATAATAGTCTTTTCAGCAATGGTGCTGGGACAAGTGGATATTTATTTGGGGAAAAAAAACCTAGACCCTTACAACATAGCACATGTAAAAATTAACTCAAAATGAATCATAGAGCTAAATGTAAAACTTAAAACTATAAAACTTCTAGAAGAAAACACAGGAGAAATTCTTCACCACCTTGGGGGAGGCAGTGTTTTCTTAGGCAGGATACAAAAGTGTGAATCATAAAAGAAAATCTGATCAATCATATTTCATCATAATTAAATACTTCTAGTCTTGAAAGACATTCTTTAGAAAATGAAAAGGCAAATTCAATATATCCGACAAAGAACTTGCATCCAGAAGAATTTCTGCAAATCAATAGAAAAAGACAAAAAATTTAAAAAACCTCAATTAAAAGTGGGCAAAAGATGTAAACAGACACTTCACAAAAGAAGATGTACCAGTAAGCACGGAAAAGATGGTCAACTTCTTTAGTCGTCAGGGAAAAGCAAATTATTAATAAAACCAATGGCACAAAACAAAGGTCCCGGAACCAGACTCATACAGATATAGCGCTGTGGGAAAGTAATGATCTTTTCAGTCAGCAGTGTGGGGTCCACTGGAAATTCACAGGGAATAATATTGATATCGACCCCTAGGTCAGCCCCAGGAAGTATTAATTCCATGTGGATTGCAGATCCAAAGTTTAACGATACAGTTTCCAGAAGATAAACCAAAATGACACTGGGGATAGGGAAACAATTCTTAACCAGGACACAGACAGCACTAGCCTTAAAGGAAACAACTGATTAATTGTTAAAATTATTAAATTAGGGACTTGCCTGGTGGCACAGTGGTTAAGAATCCAATGCAGGGGACACGGGTTCAACCCCTGGTCGGGAAGTAAGATCCCACATGATGTGCAGCACCGCCAAAAAAAACAGTAGAACGAAAAAGACTTGGGAGTCTCTGTCTGATGAACTGCGTCCACAGACAGTGTGGGTGAATTTCACAAACTTAGTGCTGCAATAGAGCTAGACATAAAGAGCTCAAACAGAACACGCTGCACGCAGTTCACACGTGCACTGGTGCTGGAAGTCCTTTGGGAGGGGGCAGACCAGCGGGGGAGAGGCCTCTGGTGAGGATAAGGGGCACTGGTTACACCAGTGTGTCCACTTTGGGAAAATGCATCCAGCTACACACATATGATTTGTACCTTCCCCAAAAATGTTTAAATTCTACATGAAATTGAAATGAGGAAATTATAAACTTTATGCCAATAAATCTGAAAATGTAGAGGAATTGGACATATTCCTAGAGAAATAACTGCGAGCACCGCACAAGGAGAAACAGGCTACGTAAATAGTCCTGTGATGATTCAACAACAAAAGCCCTTCCTTAAAACCGGTCCACAAGCACCTCCGGGCCCAGCGCCCCCAGAATTGTCCTCAGTATTCCAGGAGAAGCAGCCCAGGATCTCACACTAGGTCTGGCCCTGGGCTCAGCCACACCGTCTGTGTCTGTGACTGCACTGCTGGTGAGGAGGGGACACGGGTGCCCACTCCCAACCCACCGCAGCCAGCAGGGCTCAGAGCCGGGAGGGAATCCCTGTCCCACGGGCCGGGCGGCCGGCATGGGCACCAGGCACGTCCCAGCCCCCATGGAACACACGGGGGAAGCCCAGTCCTGGCGGGAGTGCAGGTTTGGCTGCTACCCCCTGGCCAATTTGCTGTGTGACCCTGAGCAAGCCTGTCCCTTCTCTGAGCCCTGATTTCCCCATGGATGTCAGAGGGCTACTCTGCCCACCCAGAAGCCCAGAGGGACCGCAGGGAGTGGGAGGTGGGCGGAGAGGAGGTTGTGGAGGAGGCGGAGGGGCGGTGGGGGGGGGGGGGGCGGGGGGGGGGGGGGGGGGAGCGAGTCCCAGGCTGATTCAGGCCCCGCCCCCGGGAGCAGTGGCGATCAAAGCCTGTCCCCCACCGAGCCCGCTGCCCTGCCCGGAAGCCAAGGGCAACGGCAGCTGACCCCACTCTCTCCGGCCGCAGTTCCCCTTCCAGTTCTGCCGAGACCCTCACCCCCAGCCGCAAAGTGGGCGCGCTGTGGGTGAGCAACGAGGAATCTGAGGCTGGGGGAGGGGAAGCCACTGGCCCGAGGGGGCTCAGCCCGCGGGGCTGCGCGGGGACTAGACGCGGCGGGCGGAGTCCAGGGTGGCCGCGCTCCCACCCCGGCCATCCCGGGACCGGTCATTGCGGGGCTGCCTCTCTCGCCCTGTGACCGGCTGGGGGTGTCGGAGGGTCCCCACCGGCCTGGGCTCGGGGCTGGGGCAGCCGGCAGAGCGGCGGGGAGGTCTGC